TTTCCTGTCTAAACTAGCACACCATGGTGCTTTTGAAAAAGGCGAAGTGGAAACAAATTTCATTGAGCGGTATAAGGACAGTCTATTCAGCAGTGATTGCAATTCAGGACCTGCACTAGAGGCATATAGACGTGGTGCATTAATTGCTGCTGCTTGCATTTGCAACAGGGAACTTGCAGCATCAAGGAATAGTGCCCCTGGTAAGTTTAAACGTTCCAGTACTGACTTTTCATTTTCCAGTTCCTGGAATATTTATGTGTTTCTTTTTCCTGTTGTATTGGCCGAAGGAATGTTTTTGTGGTATGTTGATCCTCCTTTTAGAGTCCACCATTTGGCTCATCGAAACGTGGAACTTGAGGGAGATGATGAGTTTGGTGATACATGTTCAAAACTCTTAAACGTTTCCGTAACCCATTTGGCTGAAGGGAAATTCCTAGTTGAGGTACTTTATCTTTTTGCTTTTACTTCATAAGTTGTATTTGAGGCCTTTTAGAGTATGTGTGAAAGGGTACTTATAATTTGTATATGAAAGATTTATCCAGATTTCTTTATATATAAACACTTTTTTATTTTCTTAAGCAGCTACTATTGGAGTTCTAACATCAGTCTCATGATTGCAGACAGGAGAAAGCATTTGCCCCGGTTTGGAGGTCGAAGTACAACAGTTAGGCAATGGAAATTATGCAGTCGATGTTGGTGGCGTAAAGCAAACCGTTTACCTTGCTGAATATTCCAAAGTAAAACATATACTCCTGAGTGCTGGCCCTGTTTCCTTGTTCTTGTAGCAGATGAGAACATTGTCTGTCCTAGATTGCTGATTCTCGTGGTTATCTTAACGTGTGTGTGTGTGTTTTACATTGTGTTTGATGAAAATTTAGTAACTGTTAGTTTGTTACAAAGGATTACTAAAGCAACAGTAACTTTGACATCATGAGATGTCTCAATAAAAATGGTTTCAGTGTATCATGTTGCTGTTGTTGATGTAGGACCATTTTAAGAACATCCATATTTGGCATGGCCCATACCATCATCACTTCAAACAAAGTATAAGCCTTGAACTCGTTGAGGATGATCAACCTAACCAAAAACTACCTGCCAGTGAGTCTGCATCTCACCCTCCTGGGACTGTGGTTGCCCCAATGTCAGGTCTAGTGGTCAAAGTTTTGGTGAATGACGGGGATGAAGTTCAGCAAAGCCAACCAATATTAGTATTAGAAGCCATGAAGATGGAGGTCTTCAATTCACAAACGTTTTATTTAGTTTTACGTTTAAGCATTTCATTTAATGTTTTAAACTCATATTTTTTATATTCCATTACATAGCATGTAGTGAAAGCTCCAACTGCTGGACATGTTAGTGGCCTTAAAGTTGAAATGGGACAGCAAATATACGACGGAGCAGCTCTCTTCAGTATCAAGGTCAGCTTTCACTCTCATATGGCCAATTTCATTGATTTTGTGCACTCAAATGCATGGTTTTAAAAACCTGCCAAGGCACACCTCTTATTGAAGTGCAAGCTTATGAACTTTAAGCGATGGGTAGATTTGTTACTTGAGGCGCTGACATGGGTTTTATATTTAATTTTTTTTTATTTGGGCTTTAGAGCACCCATCGCTTGATCCATGAATTTAGCTAATATAACAACAACAACATCCAAGCCTTAGTCCCAAAAGATTTTGGGGTTGACTAACATGAATCGATACATGACATGCACTAAACTAATAAAAACTAAAAAAAAAAGTGATACATGGGAGACTTTTAGATGCTTAAGGCTTCGAACCTGTGAATTAATGCTCCTCTCATAAAAACTTAAAGTATGCCTTTGCTTCAGGGGATATATGAAATGTATTTTGTTATCCCAGGAACCAAATATTCTTGTTAATTGTCAATTTAGTTACATCCTTGTGAGTAATAATTACAATAAATCATTGCTGCATACATAATTGGAAGATTTGGAACTGATTGGTGTACGGTGTAATATTATCTGCGTAATGTCTACATGTTCAAATAGGTTTCTTCGTTGTATATATCACTACTATATCAGTGTCTAGACTCTAGAGTGTCTCTGTGGTCTTCAGCCATGCATTCTTCATATAAACTAGGAGAAGCTCTCTCTTATTTGATTTTCATGATGATGGTTGCAGAGTCTTTAGATCTACCATTTCTTCATTGAAGACAATCTGAACTGGATTGAACACCTAATGTTGCTCTGGAGGAGATCTTGAATTGCAACTCTACTCAGATACATCTATGGTAATACATATTTGGGAATACCCGAGTCACTATATAGGCTGTGAATGAGTTGAGAGGCCATTTCCAAGGGTTGGAAATTTGAAACCTCATTTCTAGGACCCCTTGAGATGTATCAAATTAAATAAATTCATAAAAACAGTATATGTTATTTGAGTTATGAAATTGTATTCAGTGGAGATACTAGGGGATATGCTAGCAACAGTTTGGTTGTGACTAAACTATATTGAGTTGTTGGGTATGCCATCTCTCATTGCTAGGTGTTATCATTCTAAGTTCTGACTAATTTCGAGATCTCATATGAAGAGTTTTGTATAGTAAATTACACGACAACGCTCAAAATGAAACATTATTTCAGGAGTTTTTGCATTTGCTTCTTGCTTTGAGAGTTTGAGAAGCAGTTTATTTTGTATAGTACATTACATTTGCGTGTGCTTCTTGTTTTGAGAAATAGTTTATTTTAGAGATTATATGAAAAATGTATGGATGCATTCTGGGGTAGGCAATAGAGAACAGTGGGCCCAGACATGTTGACAAACAAAGGGCTAAAAGAAAACACAAGTTGTAGGAATAATTAATGAGTAAAGGGTCAGTTTGGTCCTCGAAGTTGCAAAAAAGGGGTCAAATAAGTCCTTATATAGAAGATTTTGTCCGGACGTGCCATTTGAAGTGGCTCCTGATGGAATTTTTTGATAAAATGTTTTGAGCATCTTATTCATTAAGTCTAGTTTACTCATACCAAATTTTAGCTAAAAATTCAATCGGGAAGACATTCAAATGAATTCTTAAAGATAACTGTGCTGAGGGCACGAAAGTGCCGAAGGCTCTTGAATTTTGCCATTTTCTTCCAGTAGCTTTGTATGCTCAAATCTGGCTGCCCAGGGCGCACCTTGGGCTCCTCTGAGCTTGGGCCGCTGTGTTTTGGGCCTCTTGTGCTTCTTGGACCTGTGCTAGAATAGTAGGAGTCTGTGGGTCGGGGATTCCCGGGCCATATACTCCATCACATCCTACCCACCATGTAGAAATTGTCACTTGCCCCTTATTATGCAAAATTAGTTACTGTTGATTCTCTTAATTAAATTTCAAGAAATGATTATTATTTATTAATTTTAGTATTTCACGAATATGGTATGTCTAGGTTGCCATATATTTGTTGTGATTCTCGTGCACTATTTTTTTTTCTTTTGCACTCCAACTCCACCAATGTCCAATGGGGGAAGGGCACAAATTATATCATAGAACCGATTGTACCATGTGAAAGGATAGTCAGGTTTTTATATCGCACTCCTCGCAATGCTCCAATATGATTCTCATGCTTCATTTGCCCAAAAAGCCCCCAAAAGTATTCCTATGGTGAAAAAGATAAATTCTAAACTAATAACTTATAACTCAGTCGGCTGTTGACCTACCACTGGCTAGTTCTGTTGCGCTTTCTGCTTACCACCGCTTACACAGAAAGACGACTCGTCGGTCACACCCGGACGGACGGCTTGCCGCTAGCACCCATATGGCCAGAGGCTCATTTGCACATGACGCTCCTGCACGTGGCTCGCTAACTGCACCTAGTCGGCGAAACTCACACAACCACCGCAAGTCAGATTGAAGCTTGCTCACATAGTATCGATGCTCAATAGTAGAGAACATGATACCTAATAAAGATGGTTTGATGCTCAAACAAGATTTTGAAATTCTTATACTCAATTGGGGAGTTTCAATACTTAATGGATGAGATTTGATAGTCAATGAAAATGTTTTTATGCTCAACTAGCAGAGCTTGCAATTTTCGTATCAATGCATATTTCAAAAGTATAATATTAAAGTAGATTCTCATATTGGAATCCATAAGAGATTATTATTGATATGATTTAAGAAATTTTTATAAAAGAAAAAATAAGAAAAAGAAAGTGAGTTAGAAGATATGAAGTGGACTTTTGATACTCACTGGAATAGGCATGTTGCTCAATAAATGTTCAATGATAACGTAAGTTGTGATTGTCAACTAAAATAACAAAAATATCCCAATCGTGCAATTTAGATCGCACAACCGGTTGCAACTTGCACGATATACAGACTCGCGTGATAAGATTGATTTGGTTTGCAAGTCATTATATTTACAAACAGAGTATTACAATTGCCTCATATTATAAGATACCATTTTTCCTTTTTGAGTTATCTAAAAAAAAATAGGAACAACTTTCTAAATTGAACATTAGCAACTTTATACTTTCTGAATTTATCCACAATTTTACATTTTACTTTTTGTAGACTAATACTTCACTATCTTAAAGAAATGGCTTAATTTGTGAATTGGACTCAGGTATAAATAAAGTAAAAAAACGACAATTTTTTTTCTTTCAAAAAATAGAACTTAATTGTCTTATTAAAAGAATAAAATGACAAAAAGCTTTCTAAAATAGTACTGAAAGCATCCTTGTTTGATGAGAAAACAGGGACATTCCTATCTTACTAACCATGATATGTTTTATGTAGGAACTTTTTTCTTTTCTCAACTTTTAGAAGGTTGTGATCTTAAAACAATTACTATATTAGTTTTTTTTATAAATAACTTGTCTTGATGTACACTTTTTTGTTAACCTTTGATACACCTTGTTTGTGTAGAGTCTGTAGACAGACAATTTGCGAAGTTTTGAGTTTTTTAGAGAAATTGCTTGTGTACACATAAAAAAAATAAGATGTGTACAACAGATATACAAACATGAATTTCCTTAAATGTATCTTACACATATGTGATATCGAGGGCTGTGGAGATATTTACTCTTATCTGGAACAACACAAAAGTGTTGAGATCTTTATCACTAAAGAAAATAATTGTTCACGAGTCATACCAGTGCAACTTTTCAACCAAAGCAGGTCAGTTGTAGGCTACTATAATATGTCAATCTATAACTTCTTTCGACTTTGCTTGTGCAACATAACATGAATTTTTGACTGCTGGTAAGGTTTAGAACTAGCTGAATTTTATAAGCAATACCTTGAAGGGTTAAGTCTTGAGCCATTCATATTGAGTCCATTAGGAGGAGGGAGCTTAAAAAAAAAGGAGGGAGCTTTTAGCTTTACATATATAATGCTGAATTTCCAACACTAACTGGAGGCAATCAAAATTTGCCAGTGTGGTGTAACTGTGTTTAAGCACAGAAAGACTTCCCACGACTCCACGACATGAATAGATAACAGAGAAGTAAAGTGAATGGCATATTAGCTGCTATTCACATCTACCAAAGTACACACATGTTTCTATGAGTTGTTTCTTTCTTCCCTTCTTTCCCGATTCAGCTAATTGTAGTGCTTCTTCCAATCCAAAAAAGGCTGAACAGGTTGGCATCCAAACAAACATAATCCAACAGTTGATACAGCAGGGGGGGGGGGGGGTAACCAAACTGCGTAACATAAGAGCGAAAGCCTGCAGAATAACTGAAGAAGGGTAGACATTGTGCTCAATGATGCATGAGATTAGGCCATACTGGTAAATTGCTGCACATGCTAAATTTGGTGATTCATGTTATTAGTTCTTCGTGTGAAGAAAAAAATGGCTTGGTCTGAAAAATCACTAGTAACTGTTGGGATCAAAACCACAGCTCAAGTGTTAAACAACACCTCCAATGCACAATAGGCATAAATGGGGTTCCATTGGAAAAACAATTGGTTGAGTTGTAGTTTAGACAGAAAATTCAAAACTGGCAACAACCCCGAGAGGGGCCTTGAGTTTTCAGTAATAATAAATGCAGAAGTCATGCGAACAACAGAACCGCTATGGACAACAGTGACAAAATTTTGAGAATCTAAGAGCCCTTAGGGTTTGTTTGGTTCAGGGGTTCCGGGATTTTGCAGGGGAGGGAGGGGGACATTTATTTTTAAAAAATGATCCCAGATTTAGGTGGGTGGCAATAAACTGAAGTTATAGAACCACATTAGAATGGCATCGCATGCTCTAAGTAATCAGCAAAAAGTCATATATCTGGTCCAAGACTGACAAATAGGGATATTATGTCATTGAAGTTAAAATGTATGCACCTCCCGGCTTCTCTCTGAAATCCCCTAACGAGTCAAACCATAAGGCCAAGAGCATTTGAGAAGTATAGCATCTCCCAAATGTGAAGCAGCAAGAACAAAGGTCTATAGTCAATCAATCATGGCTGTTAAGCCATCAGTCCAGTAACATTCCAACTGAACGTGATGATACGGTCTGACCAGACAGTTGAAGCAAGTAATTAGTAAAAGACAACAACAACAAAATTATGCATATATGATTATAAACAAGCTTCTAACTGACTTCCCACAGATAAATCTAAATGTCAATAGCATATGTGATGCTAAAATAAATATGAGTGTGAGTGCCCCTACTCATATCAAGAGAGAATGCTTCTTTCTCTATTTCACCACGCTGCAATGATCAGAAGAGGAAAATTTCCGGTTCAGCAGCATAAGGAATTAAGGATGACATGATTATCCAAAAAAGTAGCAACCTTTGGAGCACAAAACCCTAGATTCAGCTAACAATGTACCATTATTAAAAGATTTTAATATGGAGTTAGATTTTCAATCTGAAGCAGTAAGAACAACACAGTATTTCATCAATCAATTGTCCAAAAAAGTAATACCACACAATTATATCAAAGAGTAGTAATACAAAAAAGTAATAGAGTTGAGGCATGCCTGAAAACGCAGCAACCAAAAGTTCAGAATGTGAAAACCATAACCTGGAAACCAATCGAAGTGGAAATGGAAGCAGAAACCAAAAGTTGAGAAGGTGAAAACCATAACCTGGAAACCAATCGAAGCGGAAATGGCCGCAGAAAATCTGGCAAAAAAAACAGAAGAAGAGTAGACAATGTCATAAGATTAGGCCATACTGGTACAAAACACTTGAGCACTTTCGCAGGGAAGGCCTCTGACTTTGAGGTCCTTCCACATGCTGCTATATGTGGTGATCCTTTTTTTACTTCTTCTTCATTTGAAGAAAAAAATGGCTTGGTCTGAAAAATAACCTAGGAACTGTTAGGATGATGTTATAGCAGCCCACAGTTGAGCAACACCTCCAATGCACAATAGGCATAAATGGGGTTGCATTGCAAAAACAATTGGCTTGAGTTGGAGTTTAGAGAGAAAATTCAAAACTGGCAACCACCCTGAGAGGGGGCTTAAGTTTCCAATAATAAATAACTGCAGAAGTGTTGCCAAAAACAGTGTGAGAATCAAAGAGGCCTTGGGGTTCCAGGATTTTGCAAGGAAGGGAGGGGGAGGGGACATTTATTTTTTAAAGGATTCCAGATTTAGGTGTGTGGCAATAAGCTGAAGTTATAAAACCACATTAGAATCACATGATGTAAGTAATCATAAAGTCATATATCTGGTCCAAATAGGGATATAATATATGTCATTAAAATAAAAACCACAAGGCCAAGAGCATTTGAGAAGTATAGCATCTCCCAAATCTGAAGCAGCAAGAACAAAGGTCTATTATAGACAATCATTTATGAAATCAGTTCATTCCAACTGAACCAATGCAATGAATATAAGATTATATAAACAAGCTTCCAACACTGTAATTATCAAACACCGTAATTAAATATGTGCTCACACTGCATAACAACGAAACGATTATTCAAAAAAGTAGCAACCTTTGGAGCATAAAACCCTAGACTCAGCTAACAACGCAATCTTTTTAAATGCAATCTGAAGTAGCAAGAACAATACACTATTTCATCAATCAATTGTCCAAAAACAAAGAGCAGTGAACGAGACCTTGGATCGAAGTGGCAAAAAAATTTGGACCATTTCTCGATTTGTGCGTGTCATCCTTGCGCAGGGGCCATGCTAATCTTCTCTGTATCGTTCCAATTTTATCGGATGTCCCCGAAGGGACAACCCTGGATGAGAGTCTTCCGTATATACAGACTGCAAGCATTGCTTGAACGCTCGGTGTGGGATATGTAAGGGACTACAAGTGAAAGACTGGGCCACGGAGTAGGAACACCACGCTCCTCTACCTCTAGCGAACTTCTACGGAATCCAGCCCAAAATATTCATACAGCTTCCCTCTGGGCTGTCGTTGTCGACTCTTACTCTTCTCATTCTCAATTTCATTCTTTGTTCTATTTACTACATGAGCAGCTACTTAGTAACAATTTTTACCCTCCTATGTCATAAATCTGATTCCATGCACCCAATATTTGAATGATTTTTACTATTTGACTTTTCGGGTATAATATTTGAATGAAGTATTATTTATCAAGAAATGAAACTACTTTCAAAGAGTTTCATGGCCCACTTTGTTAAGCTATGTTTTTAGTTTATCCGCTTTAACCACCAACCACGCAACTTTTAATTCCGCGTTCTGGATTTTGAAATAATCAAAATAAGTAATGTTGAAATTATTTTTCTTACTGAAGTTACTATAGGGAACCAGTTTATCTATCCTTTCAAACATTTTTTATTCACTTTATCAACAAAATATATTAATCTATTGATTCTGGTGAAAGCGATGAATTTCTGACTTGATTGGCTGAAACTGCTGAATATATTTTGTTAGACCCTAGATTTTGATGAACCATTTTGATGATGCCAAAAGCTTTTGTTATCCCCCCTCTATTGTAGCATTATTATAGGTTTGGAAGTTGAAATAGTCTTTGTTCTCCTCTGTTGTAGCATCTTGCAGTTGACTAGTACTAAGAAAATTATCTAGATATGTCTTGCTCCTTTTTATATAGTTAACAAATAAATATGACTGGAAAACCATAAAATGCAATAAGGCAATATTGTATTGCCTTAAAAAGGATATCGTATAAATCCAACCAGTTATATTTATTTGTTACACACAACAACATCTCGTACAAATGAACTATCTATTTCAACTGGAAAACAAAATGCAATAAGGTAATTTTACCTTAATAGGAGTTGATATCCTACCAGTTAAATATATAGTTTATCATGTTCGAAATACTAGATAAACCATACACTCAGAAGAAGAGTTCTTGATATTCTGTTCACTACAACAAATAACAATGTAAATTCTATATAACAAGTAAAACACACTGGGACTCAAAATGAAATAAGGTAAAGTTGTCTTTATCTTAAAATTGGATATTTAAATCCAACCAGTAAAGTGTTACTTGATATATAGAAATCAAAAGTGAACAAAGAATATTAGTTAAACTAACTGGAAAACAAAATGCAATAAGGTAATAATTTTTACCTTAAAAAGGATTTGGTATCCTACCAGTTAAGTTAACAAGATACCTGCTTAAAAGTGACAAGAGTTCCAATGTACAAACTATGTATCAGATTAAACATACTGGAACTATAAAATGCAATAAGGTAAAAACTACTTACTTTACATGGATATTTAGATCCAACCAGTAGAGCTTTAACTCGGTACAAAGTTTAATCATGTCACTTTAAGAAAGAAAGTGATTAGTAAAATAAGTGACAAATTTTACTGTGAAATTTGTACCAAATAAATTGTACTGGAAAGAACAAAATACAATAAGGTAAGTTTACCTTAATAGGATATTTAAAAGATCCTACCAGTACAAAATTTATTTGATACAAAATATTCTAAGTCACACATTTTACTACTTCACTACTTGAGCAGGTTCACGCACTCAGCTTCACAAGTGTAGTTGCAAGACAAGGCCAAAACACTCAGAATGCAAGAGCAGAGAAGACATGAGAATAGGTGAATAGTGAAGAGTTTCAGAATAGGCATGCAGCGATAAGAAGGCCTAAGGTATGGGTGTTATCTTCGTACAAAGCAAGTGGTCTTCAAAGACAAATCCTTATCCTGCTCCAACACAAGAAGACGCAAGTACAATACTTTGGACGTCTAGGATTAAATCCTCTTAACCAACGGAGGAAATTAATCTACTGGAGTTGCCTATAAAAGTAGGCAGAAGCATGAGATCAAAGGTAAGTCATTGAGTTCAAAGCAAGAGATTCTATTATTACACTACGAATATCCAGCAAAAAGGAAAGTGCTAGAATACTCTGCTTTGACTCATGCTTCACTAAGCTCTTAGATTAGATCATAAATTGTCATATTTTTAGAGCTTAGATTTTAGTTGGTAGGCCAAAAATTCCGTGTATTTTACAAGTGGTTGTAAACACTTAGGAGAACAGTTGTTCGGATCCTAAAGTGTGGTTAGATAGATAAAGTACCTTTTGATCCCCACTGGATCATTTGAGAAAAGTCTAAGGAGTGAGTAACTTTGAGTGGTGTTATACTCATTGTGAAAAGCCTTCAATCTAGGTCTGAGTGTTGTAAAGGCTAGATTGGCACTAAGTGTATTGGGCTTAATACTTTAGTGGAAATCCATCTGAAATAGGGTGGGACTGGATGTAGGAGGATTACACCACCTCTGAACCAGAATACATGGTGTGTTGATTTACTTTCATACATACAGAGGACACACCAAACACATCTCACTAAAGGTTTGTAGTTTGCCAGCAGCATTCTAAGCAGTAGTCTTCATCGACTCTACTGCTTAGCCTACTGCTCAATAACTCACTCTCCTTGAGAGTGTTTTCCACTAGAAGTTGTCTTAAACTCAGAAGGTGTCTCACCAGTACTCTGGTCTTCATCCTCCTGCTGAGACCACTGCCCATCCATACGTATCTTTCCAAACCCCATAACAAGCCCGAACAAAAAGCCATCCAAGAGTCATCCAGTTCCTCAGCAGTTTCCTCAGCAGTAACCTGACCTTCAGCCAACTGCCAACCCAGCAGTTGCCTGCCAGCCAGCAAACTGCCTGTGCAGCAGTAGCCTAAGCAGTGACCTTCTCACCAGTCAACTGCCAAGCCTACTTCCTCTCATAACCAGTCTAAACACCATCTAAACTAGAAAGTTATCTCGCACTAAGTATAAAGAGGTTAAAGACTTCCGCCGTGCATCTATTAATCTCTCAAAAGATTATAGATCAACTCATCTAGAGGGAAAAGTGTTTCAAAATAAAAAGCTTTAAAAGTCTATTCACCCCCCCCCCCCCCCTCTAGACTTTTACCTCTATCCGGGACCATCATATTTTATTATTAAAATAAAGAAAAAGTTATATGAAAACAGCTAAAATGATCCTCTAAACTTCGTCCTGCAAATTCGATCAAAAAATTATATGGAAATAGCTAAAACGATGCTCTTGGGTTTGTCCCCCGCTTCTCTTTTGCCGCCAAAGTGTGGCTTATGTTTTCCGTGGGCCCTAAAATGGAGGGAAGCCCTCCTATAAAAAGGGAAATGAGGATGGGGTGCAAACCAACCCTAATTGGTTGAAATGGGTTGAATGGGCCAGAAAGGTCACGTGGGACGAAATGGGCCTCATTGATCGGGCTCTATATGGAAGTAATGCATTGGCTTTTAAAAAGTAATAGGCCGAGATAATGTATATCCCAACACTACTCAAATTAACACAAAGAAAGAATACCACTGAGGTTATGTTTGAGAGTTGGGTTTTGGAAGAGAGGAGAAGGTTGACGGGGGTTTATAACTCTCCTTTACATGTTTGGGAGTTTAAAAAAATGGATGGATGGTTTTTGGAGGACTTTTGTAAACCTCCAAATCATCTAAATGTTCAATTTTTGAGTTCACCAAATTTGGAAGGCTTTCAAAGATAATTAACGAATAATAATTTAAGCTAATTTTAAAATGAATCTCAAAGTGGTTTTAATTATAATTAATGAAAATAGAAGCTACACTTTGGCGGCAAAAGAGAAGCGCAAGACAAACCCTAGCGTACCGGTTCGAGATGTCTTTAACGTTCGATAATAATGGTAATATTAGTATAATATCGAGTAATATAATAACAATACAATAGTATGGAAAAATAATGAACTCGAGTAGGAAACCGAGAAACCGGTAGCGACCCTATCTGGCTTCGGCACTGACGGTAGGATCTACGTTAAGACTATGGTGTGTTGACAACACTGATACCTCACATTAATTACCAGGAACCGGCTAGTTTGGGAAACTGAAGTGGAACAACGTACAAAGATTTTTTCGGGTGTCTACGCAGTGTGTATATCTCACTGTGAGCCATTGCTCCGTTATTTTACTTCCCTGCACGTACATATTTCCATTTCTCTTTGCTTCGTTTTCTTTATTTTCCTTTTTTACAAATCTTTTTTCTTCTCCATCAAATACTAAAAATGTAATTACAATTTTAATTTTCTTTATCTTCAACTTAAATTACAACTCAAACTATTTTTGTACTAGTGATATTCATATATTAATATTAATGATATTGTGATATAACTAGGGATGACAACGGGGCGGTTCGGGGACGGTTTTACATATAACCATACCCGCCCCATTTGATAATTCCCCGCCCCATAACCGCCCCATTACCCAACGGGTAATTTTTACCCAAACCGTATCCGCCCCAACGGGTAACGGGTATAACCGCGGGTAATCGCTTTAGTAAATGAGTCATTCATATTTTAATATAAAAATAATATTTTAACAGGCAAAAAAATGGCATCACCTAGATGAATGAGACGCCGCTTTAAAGTTTCGTATATCTACAAGACGAGAAAGAAGACAACATAAATTAATTTGAACCTGAAAAACTTAATCTGAAAAAATAATTATTCACTAAAAATCTGATAATAATCAAACAAGACTATTAAGATCTATTATGAACTCTCATTGAAACATTATAGTTAGTACATCTATTATCCATATACTCAATGAAAATAGAAAAATCTCATCTTCCATTACTCATGGGACAAATAATAGATAAAAATGTAATAAAAATATAACTAAAATAAACGGGGCGGGTAATGGGGTGGGCATGTATTAAATAGTGATGCATTTATCTAGAATATTCTATGTAATTAAAGCTAGAAATGTTCTAGAGAGTTAATGGAAATAATGTTCTAGAGAATTCTCTACTAGAGAATTCTTAAGTAGAGTCTAGAGTTATTAGAAGTAGAATACTCTAGATTCCTAGCATTTAATAAGGATCTAGAATGATCCTCTAGCACCTATAAATATGATCCATTGTACTCATTTGCTCACCAAGCAAACCAAGAAACATCAATACAATATATCTTTTCTAGAGACTAGAGCTCTACTCTAAAACACCTCATATACACTACACCTCACTAAAATCACT